AATTTCAAACATTTGTGTTTCAAATTGTTCGGTATTTCCCAAAATTATGTAATTTGCGAAATTGCTGTAATTCGATATTTACCGAAGTTTCCAATATTTCTGTACTTACCGAAATTTTCAATATTTCTGTAATTACTGAAATTTCTAATATTTCTAAAAACTTTTGAATTACATTGCTGTGTGATTATCGAGCTAATAGAATTTCGGAAATTTTGTTAATTTCCTTTTTCGAAAATCTGAACATATCTCAATAATTCACAATATAATTCTTAAAAATTTCGCTAATATATTTAAGAATATATATCAATTTGGTGCTTGATTTTTTTGAAACAAAAGATTTTTATATTACATATAATAATATTGCACCAATGAAACTAGTATGATGAATTTTCTATTCGAAAGAAAAAACCAAAGCAATTATATTAATTTCATTGTGTAAGATTTTTACTTTATGTTATGTTTATATTGATCGTACAATTAAAAATATCATTCTTGTTGTTATTCTACTTGATCAAAGATGAAATAAATATGAATCAAAAAAAATAAATTTTAATTAAAAAAATCTATCATATATAAGTTGGTGGAAAAAAGTTTAATACCAACATATTTTTGATTTTTTCTATAATCTTAGTCAATTAATTCAAATTCAGATAATGATTTTAATAGGCAATGAAGATTTCTATCTAATACATTGTAAATAAAATGAGAGATCGCCTCATTCTCTATGAAATTATCTTAAAAATTTGAAAATATCACGCACTGTGTCCAGGTTTTTAAAACCTTTGTTATCATAATTTATCTATATGAAATCTTGCTATAGAATGTATTAGATAGAAAACTCTATTAACTATTAAAATCATTATTTGGATATAAGCTAACTGTTTAAAATTATAGAAAACGAATAAAAAATGCGTTGTTGTTAAATCTTTTTCTCTCACCTTATTTATTCACAATATTTATTAGATTGTTTTTGCTTGACTGTGTACTGCTAATATAAGTTACAAGATCATTTGATACAAATATTATGTATAGATATTAAAGAAGAAAAAGAAAATCTTTCAATCTCGAATTCGATAGTTAATCTATCGAATTGTTCAATCAAAAAATGAAAGCAATAAAATTTGAATCGCAGAACCATTTGTTATCCTAAAGATAGTTAGACACTTAATATAGAATACTAACAGGACTCATGAATCTCAGTACTTTCTTTTGATGTATATAGGCTATTCAATACTTCCTCAAAAAAAAAAACAATACATTTGACGTCATTATTCGACGAAATCTGTAATCAATGAGCTGTCAAATACCATGAAGATGTTTTTATTGTATACAAGACACCTTCACTAATATTTTTTGTAATGGATTAAAAATTTTATTACATAAAATAAAAAATATTCAAAATTTAGATACAATTAAAACATTTTAATCAAATTTTACTTATTCGATTTATTCTTTAGTCTGGTTTAGAACAAACTTATATTAGTGCACAATTTACTAGAGTAAAAAACTTAATTAAATATTGTACAATTTGTATTTTCTTTTTTGTTTTCTTCTTTTAAGGAATTTATTATAACATATACATTTGGTTTTAGATGTGTTAGCTTTTCGGAGATATAAATAATTATATGAATGAAATTTACTTTTATACATAAGAGAGAATTTTAAATATTGAATATCTCAGGATAGAAGATGCGAGAAAAGTTAGAACTTGTTCAATGAACTAATCTCATTGAGAACTTTGTTCATGGAAAGTTTGAAGTCAAAATTCGAAAGTTGATTTTCTACGTGATCTAATGGAAACTACAGCTTTTTGCTGAAAAACCCAGTCAAATTTCGATATCTCACGAACAAAAAACTCGAAAAAGTCAAACCAATCTAGACTTTTCTATTACTCATTCAATGAATATTGTATTAGTCAAAAAACAATTTAACACGTAAAGGGACTTTTTCGTTAGTCACCTCATGACTCCGCTATTATGATAGACTTTCGTAATTTGAAATTTATATTCATGACTATGTACATTATAAACAAGGGAAATAATCTTCCGATTGTCACACGATGAAGAAATACACACAGAAATTACTCATATTCATGATTAGTTTACTAATAAAATAAATAAAGACACAATGCATATGGTATGAAATTATTTCGTAATGCATATGAAGACGTGATCATTCAGTAATATGATACATCATTGGTTCGTGAACAATGTAAACTTGATTTATCTTGTATCTTCATTATAAAGACGCTTACTTTAATTCTATTTATAAATTAATAGAAGATTATATATGCTAAAATATTTTTTATCAATTACTAACTTTATTATATAGAATATCGTGTCAAAAGAAAACATATTACGTTATAACAAAAACAAAAACTTCATGAAGACCGAAAGATTTTAATTTTCTGATCGATCTTATTTTGACAAATATGACAATAATTCAATATTTGAGAACATTGAAAACATGCGAGATGTCCACAAAGAAATACAATATCGTTTGATCTTTCCATATATATAGAACAACTTTGTTGATCTTCAAGTATTTATTTGATCTTGTCTTCCAATTCTTTCATTTAATTATTATCGTCCGACATAATTACAATAAAGTTAACTTCTTCTTCTGATTTTTTAATTGAAAATACATTGCTGTCTATAAAAAACAAAATAAAAATTTAGCATTGAATTTTCATGATATTATTAAGTTCAATTTTTCCTACCATCTCCTAGTAGAATATTACACCAACGATCATGATTAATTGTACAACATAATTTAGCAAAATCATTAAAATCTTTAACGAAAATCTTTTGTAAATATTGAGGATTTGTATCTGCTGTATAAATTAGAAGAAGAGCATTTTGTACAATTTCTTTAGCTGGTCTTTTCTTCTCAATATAACTAGTTCCATGTAATTTGATTCGATGTAAATGACTATCACCTTGATCATATAGTACTCGTCTCAGTACTCCTTTTCTCTTAAAATCATTTAATGTTACCAAGTCAAAATTATTTAATTTGTCTAACACAACAACGAATATTTCTGACACATCATCATGAAGTTGAACAGCGATGCCTTGTAATAATTTTAGATGGTGCCATCGATACAAATGATCACCAGGACGAACCTCAGATACGGAAATATTATGACAAACCATCGTGTTAAAATCCTAGTTTTGTTTTTTTTCTTCTTTTAGTCATTATGTCTTATGATACTAGTTATTTATATCGTTTCTTTTTGTCATGCTTTTTTCATTTAAACTGTGACTTGTCATGACCTGGGCCAATTATAACTAAATATTTAATAGAAGAAAGACAAAATCAATTTCGACGAATATTAACGATGAATATACTTCACCTAACAACATAACATCATTCATACAGTCATTATAATAATTTTTTTAAAAACTTATCATTCAGAACGTTGAATTATGAGTCATATTTGACTGATATTTTTTCATTGAAAGAACTCATATGATCCTAGAAAAGAAATATTGAAGATCTACTTTATGAAATTCAATGCTAGGTAGAAGATATCAAACATAGTTATGACTAATTTTATCCCATATTAGAAAATATCTGTGGACTTTAAGAGATTTTTATATTTATTATTACTAAATTCGAATAATAGTAGTAGTATGATATAAAATATTATAGTAGTTTATAGTCAAATTACATGATTCTTTATACGAATGGTTTATTAATTTTCATGTAGTGCTATGTTAACTTGTTCAAGCTAATGATAGTTGAAACATTCATATTCTGAGTGTGCAGGTGACTAGAAAATTATCAGCGTTACTCTCAAACTCACACCCATGTTCTTCGAGAATGTATCAATCAAACTTTGAGTATATTTAATTTCTCTTTTCGACATTTTTTCTTTCGATACTTTTTCCATCCATTCGATTGAATAAACTAACGAGGGAATGTTTCTAAGTATCCCGCCATTTTTGAGTCGGAACTATATGTATCATGTAGATTCTCATGAACTATGAATACAACGAAAAGAATTCGAGCTAATAGCTTATTGCTGCTGAGATATTCTATTTTTAGCAGAATGACGTGGTCCCTCTTAAAAAACGCCAGACAAACTGAATTTTGAATTTCGACTTGAAATTTTGCACAGAGACAGATCTTAACGAGAATAGCGTATTGCGTAAGTTTCAGATTTTTCAATGGCATCCATTCTTAAATAAGAACATTAGAATTTGCCGTTGTATGTGAGTGACATGAAAAACATGCTTTTATCATAGTCGTATCTTAGGATAACAGTAATCAAAAGATCTAAAACTTTTACAATAAACTATTCACATTAAGGTCTGTCTCTATGCAAAGTTTCAAATCAACATTCGACGCTCAGTTTTCCTAATGTTCCTTCGAGAGATCGCGGCACTGCTAAAAAATACGATAAAAATACAATATCTTGGCGGTAACAAATTATTAGTTCAAACTCTTTTCAACATATGAATAACTTATTAGAACCTACATGATGCACTTAGTTCCGACTCAAAAGCGATTTGACATTTAGAAATGTTATCTTGTAAATTAATTGAAAAAAAGAAGGATGTGATAACATCAATACTTCACTATTCATAGAACAAACAAAAATCCTTCATTATTATCTTTTATCTATATTTCTTAATCATTAAATAATCAATATTGATCTTCAACAAAAGTTCTTTTTTCTTTCTAATACAAAAATACATTTATATCAAGATTCACATTTACAAGATAGAAGCTAAAAAAAAAAGAACAATTGTTAAAAAATAGCAAATCTTACTAGGTTATATATCATGTAAATTCATCTTTTCTATTCCTCAAATTACTCTTATGAAAATAATTAAGTTTAAATATCATTGTACATGACTCACATTATACAACTATCTCAAATTTCTTTTCAATTAAAATAATCACAATGTTCTTATCTATTTCTTTTGATTTATTTTCAAACGAAATATATAAAAAAAAAGCAAGAACTACCTATATACATCATAAGTTACACTATGGATTGGAGAGCAGGAGTAAGTTCAAATGAAAAATTTGGAAAATATTTTTATATGCTTTTCTTTTTTTTTTTTCTTATTGTTGTCATATAGAAATCTTATTATACTGCTTATAATTCAATCGATCGATTTGATTCAATAATTTTTTTTTATAATTATTTTTGTACATGGTCAATTGGAATAATATTCTCTTTAATTCTTCCAATATTATTTCTCTTTGCTCCATCATCACTTCATACAAATCGTACATCGCATTTTTTTATTATTTGTTTTATTTGTTTAACAAATATGTTTTGTCTTTATATTCAAGCATATATGTTAAGTGGTTCAGGTGAACCAAATTTATCATTTCATACATGTCGTTTTTTGGTTTATATATCAACATTAGCTAAACCAATAGAACTTTATTTAACATTATTATTTAGTATTGAAAGAATATTATCAAAAAATTTATTAAATTGTATTTCATCAACAAATAATTATCGATTATATTTTAAAAAATTTTATTTATTATTAATATTTATTGGTATGAGTTTGATTTTTTCAATAAGATTATATGAAATTTTAAAATTTATTAAAAAAAATTCATCTATATTAAATAATAATATTATTTCACAAGACGATCAGATTGATATTAATAATCAAACAGATAAACTTAATTTTCAATATTGTTATCGTTCATTAAATGTTGGAATATATGCAAAAATTTTATCATTTTATACAATACAATATTGGTTTGAATATGGTATATTAATAATAATTAGTCTTATTTTATTATCTATTATTATATATCAATATTGTTTACCTTTTTTACAACAACATACATTATCTCGTTTAAGTGTTAATACAAAATTTTATATCTCACTTTCATCATGTGTTATTTTATTTGAATTTATTTTACTAGGTTTACATTTTATTGTTACTAATGAGAACAATAATAATACAAGTACTCAAGTTAATTACTTGCAAATGATGTTATTTATATACAATATACGTTGTATTTTATTACCATTTATTATTTGTTTAACAACTTGTAATCCATTAAAACAATGGATTTATCAACTTATTATTTTACGTCCATATTTAGATAATTTAAATGAAAATGATCAATCAGAAGTATTATCATCTTCTCAACAAATGATTTCTTAAAATAATAACACAATGTGAACATATTTCTTTCTTTTTTGTTTTTTGTGATTTAATTCACATATCTAATTTTTGAACAGATGTAATAGATGAACTTTCTTTCATTTGTTAATTCGTTCTATTGTGATAAGGCGGAAATGAGAAAATTCAAAGTTGATGATAGATGCTATCCTACTGTGAGAATATGCCATGACTTACATTATAACAATAGATCATCTTTCAGTATTAAATTATTGATTGGTTAAAATAGGCAAAACAGAAAAGCGAGTGAGAAAGAACAAAAAAAAAAAAAAAGAAATCTGAGAAAGAGAGAATGATCGATTGATAGCAGAAAGAACATTTCTATATTTTATGATGGACACATCACGTATTGTTCATTTGTTTTTACAATATTTACCAGATTTTTTAAAAAAAAGTAAGACTTATCAATAGAAAAAAGAAAAACAAAGATTTCTTGATTATATTTTTTTTCTCTAATAGAATTATCTCATAGAGAAGATCATTTTTCACAGGTATTTATTCCTATTTAATGTTCGCGCTAGAATTCAAGAGAGGTCAGTGTAACCTTAATGTGTCGACAATGGCAACAGTAGACGATCTGCGGTTTTCAGCAATCGAAAGGGGAAAACGCCGGATATCTTTTTTGTTTGACACTATATAAGATAAAATTATTTATAAAATCTGTCATTTTCGCAAAAGCATTTTTTTAAAAATGTATGAAAATAGTGTTGTGTTTCTGTATAGCTTTGACTAAGAGTCATTTCATTAGACCTATCTATACGCAAAATTTTATATCGAAATTCTATTATTTAATTTTTTGAAAACTATCTACAAATAAATCGAAAATTCAGTAAACGGGGACAAAGGCCGATGAGAACGAACATTTCTAGGCTTTTGCTAGTCTCACTGAGGCCTACGTGTGGATCCAATATGAGCTCAAACTAAGGATGTCATTTGGGGGTAGTTACCTCGTGAGCAAACAAAATCGCATGTATATTCAGTCAAATTCTATAGAATTCTTTTGATTTTCACCAAATTTTCTAATATTTTATCAATATTTCTCTGCAACGAAACACCGTTGAATGTTTTACGAAGATGATGGGTTGTAAAATAATTTTGTCTCATATAATATCAGACAAAAAGATGTCCGGAATTCTCCTCTTTGGACTTTCGAAAACCACAAGTCCCTTATTGTTACCGTTGTCGAGTTATTCAGCCTACATCCATTCGTCTACAATTCTGACGCAAACATTAATTGATCATATTAACAATTAATTTTTTTTTTGTGTAGAATTTCCCTAGCCAGTGTTCTTTATTTGCATCTATGACAAATATTCATAATAATAATGAAGAAAATCTTATTTATGACAATGATGGATTTTTATTATTAATGGAAACAGCTCAATCAAATCTTTCATTATTTAATGTTAGTTGTGATTCACTTATTTTTAATGATAATGAAGATTTTAATCAAAAATCAAGACAAACATTAAATACAATTAAACATTATAATAGTTCAATAGATATTCATCTAGATATTAAAAAAACTAATCATCGTTTAACAATGACTTTTTCAGAAGAAATTATTTCATCGCAAACAAAAACTTTACAACGATGGAAAGGACATGAATTATTGAATATATGTGCTTAATAAATTTTTCTTTTGAATTTATAAGAAATTAATAAATTTGTCAATTTATACTCGTTTCTACATGAATTGTATTGTAAAATATATTAACGTTTACAATTAATCTACAATAGAACTATCATCAGTTGAAGATATGTTCATGAGAAGATCATTCTCAACGAAGTAATATATTCGGATTTGCACCAAAAATGGTTTAATATTGATTTATTAATTGACTACTAAGAAGCATCTCATTCGTTCATATAATTAACTCGATCATCCGAAGAATGAGTACATTACTATTCTGATATGTTTTATTTTCTCGAATGATCCTATAAAAACATTTGGTCGACATCGTATTTTATATATTCAATTATACTTTCTTCAATAAACATGTCTTTTTCCTACGAACTAATAGAATATTAAAATAAAAATCTAAGATATACTTTAAGTTGTAAGACTTTTCTTTGAAATTTTTGGCATATTGAATAGAACAATGAAGAAATACTTCAGATACAATAAAAGAATGTAGAATAGATGGCAACGAATAAAATAAGGATATCGATTATGTATTCTCATTCAACCGTTTAAAAGTTATGTGAAGAACAATATAGACTAAAATACATTCAATATTTCAGTACTATAGTTATCTAGATAGGCTGTCGTACTAAAACAGGAAGTATTCAAAAGTATTTGAGTTATATGCGATCTAAACATAAAACTATCATACAAATAGTTCAAAAAATTATTTTGATTTATACAGGGTAAACCATAAATAGCACTACGATAAGAAATTGAAATTTCTTTGCTTCGATTCGTTCGAATGGGCTAATTTTTTGAAACACAATCTAAAAGCTATGACAGACACTAGTCGAGACCATCATAGGCCTTGACAAATATTTGAGTAACATCCTGTCTCTCTGTCACAGGCCATGACAGATGTTGTTGATATATGATCAAAGTCTGTATATGAATAATATCTTGTTCTGATATATGAACTATTTCCTTATTGCAGTTCTGGTAGATTGAGTAAAATGATAATGAAGAACTGTATTCTCAAAGAGATAAAATAAAACAATCTTCTGTGATTTGTAATAACAGTTGCATCGCATTATATATATTAATCTTACAAGAATTGTATTAGCAGTTTTTTTGGTTAGTGGTAGAAGATTATTAAAAGTTTTTTTTTCCATATGGATAATGTAAACAAATACTACTGTTAAATTATATATTTGATCTCACTAAAGAAATTTTATCTATTGTCAAGTAGGAAGTATTGATATGAAGTGTTTCATAGATCATTTCCAGTTGTCATCTAAGAGAATAACAAGAAATAATTAAAACGAATTTTATAAATGATACGATACTGCTACACATCGAGCAAATTAGTGTTCTGTATTTGAAAATTTGCTTTGCATGCATTAATATAGAGTTTTTTTTATTTTTTTCTTAGATAATAATTAGAATTTATCTATGAAACACTTCATATGTATTTTTCTTACTTGACAAGAGGCGAAATTTTTTTAGCAAGACTAAAAATATAACTTTAGTATTCGCTTATGCTATCCATATGAAAAAGAAAGTTTAAATAAGTGTCTATCATAGTGCTATTTATAGCCAATCCAGTATATCGCTATAAATACATATTTTCATAATAATATTATACTTTCGAAATTTTCCTTTTTATTTAATCATATAATACTTTTATAAAAAAAAGAAAAATTCTAAAGAATTGATTCTTGTTCAATTGTTTGTGTTTCAATTGTATTGACTTCATTAGTTTTTAAGTTTGTGGATTTCTAAAAAATTTATAGAAAACAAAACTATGATCAATTACAAAAAAATAAACAATAAGAAATACTTTATGTTTCCAATTACATGAAAATACATTTTTCCATGATATCAATAATGATTCATCTATCGTTTTCGGATCATTAGAACCTATACCATATACGAAACATTAATATTCAGTGATTCAAAAAATAAAGAATATTTACCAAATATAAATGATCCTAACAAACTAATAACAACAATAATAATAATAGCATTAAAAGAATACCACATTACAGATATTGAATAAAGTGGTAGCAGAGGATTTGAACTATATAATTACTTAAATAAATTTAATTAATCTTATCTACAAAAGAAAATTACCTTTGATTTTTTGGCATTACTTGTGTAATATTTAACGATGACAAACATCCTTTAACGGATGTAGGTAATCGTCCACCTTTTCCTATTTGTGATTTCATTGTTAAAGTAGCACCAATAAGTACCCATGTTTGAAATAATAAACAACATATAAAAGCAATAAGAATACTCTAAAAAATTTTATACTAAATTCAATAAATTCTATAGAATAAATTCAGTATAATTATACTCGACTATTTACTCTTGGTATAAAAAATCCAATTAGAAAAACTCCTAAAATTGGTGCTGCAAATGAACCAGATATTTGAAAAACTATCTATTTTAAATATAACATAAAAAAATTTTTAAAAATCAATAAAATGAATTACCACTATAATATTATTTCCTAAAAAAGATGTAGCATATGCTAAAAATACTACAAGAAAACCAATAAATAATGCTAGAGAAAACCAAAAAATGCAAATAAATATTTTTTTTTTCTGAAATATTTTTTGATATTTACATAATATTTTTGAAATAGAAGCTTGTTTTTCATCTGACATTAAATTTCCAATTGATATTCTTTTATAAATATCTTCGAGAAAAACAGTTGTTATACTATTTATTCCACTAGATACTGTACTTAATGAAGCACTTAAAACAGAAGCAATAAATAAACCTGTTAAACCCGGAAATCGACCTAATGTTTCAATAATAAATAATGGATAAAGCTAAAGATAACAAAAAAAAAAACAATTTTTTTTTTCAATAGAATATTAATGATAAATATTTTAAAAAAAAAATTTTTTTACTTGATCAGGTTTAGATATTAATTTAGCTTGAAGAGGATCACATTGATTATATTTTGCATATAGAAGACATCCAACAGATGCACAAAGAAAAAGCATCATTGTACACATTAAAAAATTTATCCAAGCAACTCTAAGATTAATTTTAAAAAAATTTAATCAATTTTCTTTTTATCAAAAAATAAATACTTTTGTGCAGCTCTTATACTTTTTACACATAAATAACGTTGTGCTTGAGTTTGTAAACAAGAATATATAGCTGTAGCATATAAACCACCACCAATAATTACACTCCAAACAGTATATCGAATTGATGGATCCAATGTAGTTCTAGTAATTAATTACAAAACAAAAGAAAAAAAAAAGATTCAACATCTTTGAAAGAGATCTCTATGGCGTCTCTGCCGCGGCAGATTTTGAGCCATGATGGGCATCTA